ATGTAAGGGAGGAAAGCAGGGAGGGAGAAAAAGTGTCTTACGATCTCATCAGATGGGCTACTTGGCCCATCATATGCCACTTCTTCTCCCCTTACATGACACACATTTACTTCTGGCCAAGCTCTGTCAAGAAAGGGGAGAACAAGTGCCTTATCATGCCACCTCAGCAACATGGGAACCTTCCCATCTTGTCTTATTAGCAATGGGGGGAAGCTGAGCGGCGACACTCCCCCCTGGTGGGATGGGGGCCACAGTATGTTGTGTGATGCGTGGAGTGATGGGCTCTCTACACACCCCAATGTTTGGTGAATCCATGGGCCTTTGTGATGAGGTCCTTAGAAATGTTATATTCTTGTAAAGGTAATATTTGCATTCATCCTGACAATCTAATCCTACACTGTAAAATTAATGCATCTTCTTGATACATTGCTCAATGTTATGGAACTATGGGAGTTTGGTTAAGCACCAGCACTACTGGAAGAGGATGCTAAAGGCCTTGTAAAACTCCAACTTCTATGACTCCATAGCACTGAGACATGGCAGTTAAGTGCTGTCAAACTGCATTAATTCTACTGCATAGATGTCTACTTCAGACAATGTTTAAATGCAGGTCACTGGAATCAGCTTCAGTGAAAAATCCCGTGCTTTACTCCTGAGCGGATATCTTTATGCGTGGAGTGTAAACACGTTGAGGATTACAGACTAGGTGGGCTGTGTCCCCAGAAATCTTCCTCATGGTTGGGTAGCTCCAGTTATTAGGGAGGGAAATAATTTCAATAGGCATGCAGTTTTTAAATGAGGCGGGCTCCAGTCCAGCAGCTGTCTCTCATTTTAAAAATTAAGCACCTCTTTTACAGCCTCCACCGCTGAGTCTTGGCAATACAGATGGGGGCCGACTGTCTCAACAGCAGAAGCTGGCTCAGAAATCAGGCTGGTCGGATCCAGAGAAAATTAGGCTGAGGCAAATGTGTTCAAAACACACAGAGACACACAAAGATACTCAGGGACCCAGAGAGATCATAGACAGGGCAAAGTGCATGGCCGGGGGAGAGGGAGGACAAGCTTGTGAAAAGCTGTTTATCCTCGTCTGCAGGGGTTCTATAGAGAAAAGAAAGGGGTGGGAGAGTGACCTATTTGTTTGATAGGATGTAGGATGCAGTTTCCTCTCTCCATGCTGCCACTTCTCAACAGAGGCACCATCTACTTTATGGTCTAAAGTAATGGTGACAAACTCATCCCATTGAGGACCGCATGAGCTTTATGGTTGCCTTCAAAGGAAGAATCTGTGGATACAGAGGGTCAACTATAATTGTTTTACATAGTGGTCAGTGCTCTTTAGTTTTTACCTATTGTAGTCCCCAGATGCTACTGAATGCCAACTCCCATCAGTTTGGTTATCTGCCATGGGAACTGGGGATAATGGGAATTTCCACCCAACAGCACTTTTAGTTCTGAGATTCAGAAAAGGTTAAAGGACAGTGGGTTGTAGGTGTTTTAAGGCTATATGGCCATGTTCTAGAGGCATTTTCTCCTGATGTTTCGCCTGCATCTATGGCAAGCATCTATGGATGCTTGCCATAGAAGCAGGCAAAATGTCAGGAGAAAATGCCTCTAGAACATGGCCATATAGCCCGAAAAAACCTACAACAACCCAGTGATTCTAGCCATGAAAGCCTTCGACAATACATTGATTAAAGGACACTTTAAAGTCAGACATCGTATCCACAAGCCTCACATCTAGATTCAAACCCCACTGTCCCCCACAAACCCCACTGTTAGTACATCCCAACTCCCATCAGACCTAATCATGATGTTTAATGATGGGGAGTACACGGGTTGGAGCCCAGGTCATGGAGGGCACATGCAACGACATGGTTGCTGGATTTAGCCCATGGGCCTTGAATTTGTCAGCTGTTATGAATTGTGGGAGTTGAAGTACAAAACACCTTTAGGGCTGTAGTTTACCCATACCTGGTATAAACACACGTACACATATGCATGCTCTCTCTCTCTATATATATATATTTCACACACACATATGCTCTCTCTCTCTCTCTCTCTCTCTCTCTCTCTCTCTATATATATATATATATATATATATATATATATATATACTAGCTTGGGTACCCGGCGTTGCCTATGTCATTTGAAAAAGTCATTTTTAAAATTTTATGCATAAGGTTGTGGGTGAACTACAACTCACAACATGCCAGGTTAACCCCCTGAAACTTCATCAGTTGTTAACGTTTGTCATGTTGGGCAAGTTTGCTCTAGATGCATCATTGGTGGGGTTCAGTGTGATCTCTGGCTGCAGGATAAGCTATAGTTCCCACCATGTTGGGTCAGTCACCTCAAATCCCTCCAGTAGGTTCAGTTGGTCATGGGGGTTCTGTGTGCCAAGTTAGGTCCAGATCTGCCCTCAGTGGTAGTCACTGTATCTCTGGATGTAATTGAGCTACAACTTCCAGAAAAGAAAGTCAGTTCTCCCCAACCCCTCCAGTATTTTCAGTTGGTTATGGTGGTTCTGTGTGCCAAGTTAGGTCCAGGGCCATCGTTGATGGAATCCAGAGTGCTCTTTGATTACAGGTGAACTATAAATCCTAGTACCCACAATTGCTATAAACCAAGGTGAATTCCACCCAAACCTCTCCAGTATTTTTCTTTGGTCATGGGGGTTCTGTGCATCAAATGTGGTCCAGGTCCATTGTCACAGTGCTCTGACTAGGTGAACTGCAACTTTCCCAAAACTCCTCCAGTATGTTTAGCTGCTGATTAGTTCTGCTCTGTTTGTTGTGCAGACAGAGTGGAAACAAGTAGGAAAGGATTAAGGGAGAAGCAGTTGGTGGTATCATGCAAATTCCACACCAATGGGGAGACTAAGAAACACTGAGATGTCTGTGGCAGAGCAAAGTGACTGAAAGTACTCCAAATCCCATCATCTGTGGTCTATCCTCTGCCAGTCTATACCAGGATGTAAAATGGGCCACATGGGTTATGTCTGCCAAGTTTGGTCCAGGTCTGTCATTCGTAGGGGTCGTAGTGGCCTGTGGAAGTGGCAGCCTATCCGAAAGCTGCCACATACATACATACATACTGTGTTGGCATGGTGGGTTAAAGCGCTGAGTTGCTGAGCTTGCTGACCAAAAGGTTGCAAGTTTGCATATGGGGGGTGGCGTGAACTTCTGCTGTCAGCCCCAGCTTCTGCCAGTTCAAAAACATTCAAAAGTGAGTAGAGCAATAGGTATTAGGGCTGGGCGGTTTCGTTTCGTTAATTCGTAATTCGTTAATTCATTAATTTTTTCAATTACAAAACGATAACGAACCATTCTGGAGCAATTATTAAAAAAACGAATTTTCAAAAACGTTTTGTAAATGCTTCGTATTTCGATATTGTATTCGTTTGTTATTGTTTTGAGGTCGTTTCGTTATTATTTCCGCATGTCTGGGCCAGTTTTATGGTTTAATTAGTGAAAAAAAATTATAATATCACACCAACAGTCAACAACAGAGGGAGAGGGAAGCTTCAGAAGGTTTTGGAGGTTTTTTAGCGTATTTCGCGGTCGCGTCCGCCATTAACGAATCGATTCGTTATTGTTTCGGAAATCGATTCGTTAATTTACCATTTACGAAATTTCGTAAATATCGAACTTTTTAAAAGGAAAATTTTGTAATTATTTTAAATATCGAAACAAAAAAACCCCCCAAATACAAATCGATTTTAGAAACAAATTTTTCCGTTGTTACCCAGGCCTAATAGGTATTGCTCTGGCGGGAAGGTAATGGTGCTTCATGCAGTCATGCTGGCCACATGACCTTGGAAGTGTCTACGGACAACGCCGGCTCTTTGTCTTAGAAATGGAGATGAGCACCACATCCCAGAGTCGGACACGACTGGACTGATATTTGTTATTAGCCGCCCCCCTATTTTAGATTCATACATGCACTTTTAACTGTAAGTTTAGTCTGCTTTTTAATCTGTCTCTTTTATAACATGTTTTTAATCTGCTTTTTATCTGACCTACTTGGGAACTTTACCTATGTACTGCACCCTTCCTTGGGCACCTGTGCCCCATTCTATACTGTGCTGGTCAAAGACCGTAATAAATCATTGATTGATTGACTGGACTTAATGTCAGGTGAAAACCCATTACCTTTACCTATGTACTGCACTCTGGCACCACGAGATGCAGAGCCAACCTTCAGAAATGGGGCTACAAAGTTGAATCCACGACATGCGAGTGTGGAGAAGAGCAAACCACTGACCACCTGCTGCAATGCAACCTGAGCCCTGCCACATGCACGATGAAGGACCTTCTTGCGGCAACACCAGAGGCACTCCAAGTGGCCAGATACTGGTCAAAGGACATTTAATCAGCTACCAAGTTTGCAAAATTTGTGGGTTTTCTTTGTTTTTTTAATCTGTTTGCTTGTTTTGTTCTGTTAGAAATGAAATACAATGTTCTGGTTGCGGATGACACGATAAATAAATAAATACCTATGTATGCATCCAAATACATCACACCTGCATAAACAAAGTAAGTGGCACTGCGGTCAGGTCTGTATGTATATATTACAATTTTTCATCTATTTCTTTTCTTCTGAGCCAAGCCCTCTATTGCATCTTCCTGGGAGAGGAGGAAACTGCAGTCCCGCAAAGTCTCTTCTTCGCTCTCTGCTCCTTAATACTGATGTTTAAAAGGAATGCGATGATTATATATTGACCCGTGCCTTTGGAGAGGGGCGGGGTGGGCTCTTGAACGGAGCCACTGCTTGAAAGAGAGGGGGGTGGGGCTGGAGGGTGGAGGGAAGCTTGGGAAAGATGGGAAGCGCGTCAGGAAGAAGAAGGGAAAGAGAGAGCGAGACAGAAAAGAGAGGGACGGCGAGAGAGAGAGAGTAAGAGAGAGAGAGAGAGAGAGCAGGCGCGCGCGCGACGAGGCGCGCGGAGTGCCGTCCAGGGCACGCGCCGGCGTCCCTCGCAGCGCAAGCCCGCGCGCGCTCTTCCCCTCCCCTCCTCCCCTCCCCTCCTTTCCCTTCTCCTGTCGGCTCCAGAAGCAGCGGCGGCGGCAGTGGAGGAGCCGCAGGATTATTAGAGAGGCTGCCTCGAGGCTGGCTCTTTTTTTTGTTTCCCGGGGAAGAGGAGACCAAATCATTGACACCCACAAAACAAAGGAAGGAAAAGGCCAAGGGAAAGGAGAAGAAGCGCCCGGCTGGACAGCAGGTGGGTGCTGAGAGCATCAGCAGGGGAAGGAAGGAACGCCTCGTTGCGGGGAGAGGGAAACTTTTGGCTTGGCGGGCGAACCCGTCTCTCTGGGTTTGTTTGTTTCCCTGTGACCCGTGTTTGGAGCATGCACGGGGATGCTTTTCAGGTATTAGGGAGCCAAGTTGGGTGGGTTTGGAAACCAGTGGGAGTTGAAAAGGAGGGAGAGTCCCTTCACTTCCTATAAAAGGAACTCCAGAATGGGTTGACTCCAAACTTTGTAGCTGGCTGACTGATGCCTGTCATTGGGGCTTCACTTACATCTCCATATTTCTAGATCTATCTCTAACTATCTGTTATATCTATACTGCTCATCTCTCTCTATTAGTCTATAATCTTTATATATACTATAGACTCCTCTCTCTCTCTCTCTCCACATACACGCAGGACACCCCCCTTCTCTATTTTTATTTATCACGCCAGAAAGTAATTGAGAATACAATTAAAAATGTGGCATTATAAGAAATTTAAAAACGTGGCATTATATGAATTTTCCTTTGACCAGAATCCTAGAATTATAAGAGTTGGAAGAGACCTCATGGGTCATCCATTCCAACCCCTTGCCAAGAAACAGGAAAATCGCATTCAAATCAACCCTGGCAGATGGTCATCTAGCCTCTGCTTAGAAGCCTCCAAAAAAGGAGCCTCCGCCACACTCCAGGGCAGAGAGTTCCACTGCTGAACCACTTTGAAGCTCGACACATCGACTGTCCATCTCTCTCTGTATACACACACATGCAATATCTATATTTTATATATGTGTGTGTGTGTGATATGTACACACACAATCTGCGTTTTATATTTATCTCTTTCACCCAGGAGCCAGGGTTTATGAAAACCTTTTATAGAAACATTCTGCTTACTCAGGGTGCCTCTACACTGGAGAATTAACACAGTTTGACACCACTTTAACTACCATGGCTCAATGCTGTGGAATCCTGAGAGGTGGAGTTTTACAAGGTCTTGCTTTCTCTGCTAAAAAAAAGCTGGTGCCTTATCAAACTACAACTCCCATGATGTCATATTATGTGAAGTCGTTTCAAGCCATATTAATTCTTCAGTGTAGAAGCACCCACCAGACTCTTGCCCAAGATTTTTTTTAGGGAGGAGGCAATTGTGTGTGAGAGGTGAGTCTGTGGAGTCAAGTTTTTTGCTCTCTGCATTTATTCCAGTCTGGCTTTCTTGCTGAGCTCGTTTAGAAATGCACGTTTGCCCTAAAAACTAAAAAGCAACCCCACCCCCCTCCACACATCAGCTTTCATCTCTCCTCTGGCACTCGCAGCATCCTTTTGGCTTTGCCAAGGCAGAACGAAGTCTACAAATTCCTTTTAACTGTCTGGCTTTGAGGAAGGGAAGGCTCCAAGGGTTGTTCTCCCAGGCGCTGTCTGGAAGCAGCTTCCTTTGCTCCTGCTCCTTTTTTCACCTTCCTCCTCATTTCACTTTCTGAAGAATACATTCTTGCTCCTGTGTGCCTTTGAGTACGTTTCTAACCTAAGGCGACCCTACCACCGGGTTTTCTTGGCTCGATTTATTTTTAGTAAGCCTCCCTCTGAGGTTGAGAGAGTGTGACTTGCCCAAGGTCAGCCGGTGAGTTTTATAACTGAGCTGTGATTCAAACCCAGGTCTCTAGAGTCATAGTCTAACACTCAAACCACTGCACTTTATCCTATAAGATGCACTGACTTAAAAAAACAAACTTTCCCTTTGCTACCAAAGGAATTTTTTTTCATGTCAGGAGTGACTTCAGAAACTGCAAGTCACTTCTGATGTAAGAGAATTGGCTGTCTGCAAGGACGTTGCCCAGGGGATGCCAGGATGTTTTAGATGTTTTATCATCCCAGTGGGAGGCTTCTCTCATGTCCCTGCTTGGAGAGCTGGAGCTGACAGAGTGAGCTCCTCTATGCTCTTCCTGGATTCAAACCTCCAACCTGTCGGTCATCAGTCCTGTCTGCACAAGGGTTTAACCCCTTGTGCCACCGGGGGCTCCTTGGATAGTATGTTAAGGTATTTTTTACAGTAAGGTATATGAAGAAGGTATCATATTAGTATGCGTCTCTTTTCCCTCCATCACCTCAATTTTTAATTTTTTTAAAAAAACCACCCATCATCCCGTATTTGATTAGATAGGCGTAAGTCACATTGTAGTCAGTGGAGTTTACTCTCAGGAAGGCGTGTAATTTTGTAGCCTAATTAATGTATTGAGATGTCAGTTTCTGTGGGTTTAAAGCCCACTCCATCAGATGCCTCACATGTTAATCTGTTGTAAAAGTGTGACTGAAAGGGCAAAAATTGCAAGAGATATCGGTTCTTTCACAAAACACATACCATCCGTCTGTTAAGTGTTGATAGGAGCCCTAAGAAGTTATTAATGTGCAGCCAAAATATTTTGGGTTTGTGATAACAGGATGGAATTTTGTTGTGGCAAAAGAAGCAACGGTCATCCATGTAATCTGCATCAAGCTTTTACTTCTGTATAAATGAATATTGCATTACAGGGATATATGCTGAAGCATTTGTGTTATCAGTGCTTATTATAGAATCCTGGCAGGGACTCACTTTATGTATTGCTTAAGGAGTTTTCTTTATACACTACCTGGTAAAATAAATACATTTTTCTTATGCACATTTTAAATCTTTGTATTAAATTATGGGAGCCCTCAGTGATGCAGCGGTGACCTCACTGAGCTGCTGAACTTGCTGACTGCAAGGTCAGTCGTTTGAATCCAGGGAGTGGAGTGAGCTCCTGCTGTTAGCCCCAGCTTCTGCCAACCTAGCAGTTTGAAAATATGCCAATGTGAGTAGATCAATAGGTACTGCTTCGGCAGGAAGGTAATGGCACTCCATGAAGTCATTCCAGCCACATGACCTTCAGCTTAGAAATGGAGATGAGCACCACCTCCTGAGTCGGATACTACTAGACTTAATGTCAAGGGGAAACATTTACCTTTTTATTAAATTATCAGCTTGCAATACTGTATGCATTTACTGGAATATAAAGAGTCTGCTCTTTGGACCTTTGGACTTGTCCCGTGGTCCTTTTTAGCAACATGATCAAGGAAAGATCTTCTCCCTTTGAACTCAGACGTAATGTTAGCTTTACTGACTGACTGAATATGCCTCTTTGCTCTAACTTTTCTGAGCACTAGGGGTCAGGTGCTTTCTCTGGAAATTTTTACAGCCTTTTTGATGAGTGGCATTTTATTTGTAAATTGAAATGTTTGTTGTGTGCAGTTCAACTGGAAAGATGGCAAAAGTGTGACTTCTTAAAAAACATTTTCATCAGCAAGGCCATTCGTGAGTGAACCTTTGCTTTGGAGTCACATTGTTTACACTGTTCTAGCATGACTTGGACAGCTTTTCATCTCAAGAGATAAAGAGTTATAAACCGAAATGCATCATTTCCATTAAGCAAGTCATCCTATTCATTCTGTGCTTTTTCTCTACAATGCAGCCCTTGAAGGATTTAGTAATTTTCATTTGATTGTATCTTTCTTCTGTTTGCTTTGGTTCTGACTGTGCATTGCACCCTATTTTTAATATTGTGAATGACTGGTTCTTTTATTGGATCATCCTATTTAACATGGTCAACTACTCAAATATTCCAGAATTGAACCACATTTGCCTTTGATATTTGGGCTGCAGTCTTCAAACCCAATTTCTGGGAATGAACTCGGCAAATTCAGTAAGAGTCATTTCTAAATAGATATCTGTAGAATTGCACTGCAATGCCTTGTTCCTGTGATACACAGTTATCTGTGACTAAATCCCTTTGAGCTAAATCAGACTTTTTCAGAGTGGACATTCATGAGACTACACTAAACAGCAGGATATGTGTATTGCTCATTGACTTAACCATGGACACACTATAATTACATTAGCTCTTGTTTTATACCACAATGATAATGTACATGCTGTGCATACAGAAAGTCCTTAATTCATTATGTGGCAAGCCAACTTAATAGGATAATATGACTGGGAGAACCCTCGCTGCTGGTTTGGAGCACCAGACTAGATGTATTGGTGATGTGATTATGTACATGGCAATTTCTTTTCTGACAGATGGTCAGAAAGTCCAGTGTATACCTCGTTCTGCATTCAACTAGGCTTGTAGCTTAATCCTTTTCAACAGCATGTGATAATGCTGCCAAATGCACCGCAAGCTGCGTTATCCAATTTTGAGGGTTGTGGCTGAAGTTTTATAGGTACTTTGGAAACTTGTTATAAAAGACATTTGATTTCTGACTGAGACTTTCACGTGCAGAGTTTCTGACAAGAGTGACTTTTTTAACAGACAAAGCTATAAACAAGGAATAAGGATTTATAACAGAGTTTCTACTTGACTTTTATGGCTTTGCAAATAACATTCCTGGTATGCATGCAGATAGGCGTGGAAATATATTCGTTATAAATGAAACTTGGTTTCAGAGGCATTTGAAAAGGATGTTTTAAATATACTGGGTGACAGAATTATTTAACAGAGACTTGTAATATTAACTGCAAAAATGCTGGCAATGTCTGGTAATGTGTTCAACTTCCTTGTGGTCTTTGGGTGCTGGTAGTTTGTGTGTAATTGCAGATACTTAGGCCTTTCCAGGTTTATAGTAATTTAATTTCTAAATCACAATTTCTAAAGTTCATAAGCAAGCTGTAAATTTTTCACTGTACATTATACCATGTTATGGATAGAAACTCTGTTTAGTTAGTTATTTTATTTATTTTACCCTGCCTTAACATTTCCCCTCCCTCCCCTCAGACTCAAAATGGGTAGAGAAATTTCACTAGGTGATATGGATGGACTTCTGCATGAGTGTGTGTGAATGGACTTGCTTTAAATCTGTTCTGTCTGTACTACCTTTCAGTGGGAAAGAAGAGCTTCAATGGAATAAGGAAGGGAATGAAGGGTTTGCTGAACTAGTGGAACCCACTTGTTTTGTTTGTAAAACACGGTTCTAGAACCAATA